AGATTAGACCACTGTAATGCGCTCTACGTGGGGCTTCCTTTGAGGTTGCTGCGGAAATTACAGGTGGTGCAGATTGCGGCGGCCAGATTACTTAGTGGAGTGAAAAAATTCAAAAATATTTCGCCCACTCTGGCTGCATTGCATTGGCTGCCCATCAGGTTCCGCATCGACTTCAAAGTGTTAACACTTACGTATAAAGCCCTAAACGGTTTAGGGCCTCGATACCTGGCGGAACGCCTATTCCCACCAAGTTCTACCCGGATCACACGGGCGAGCCAGGAGGTGAGGCTGAGGAGCTTAACGCCGAGGGAGGCCCGAAAAGAGAAAACAAGAAATAGGGCCTTCTCGGCGGTGGCTCCTCGCTTGTGGAATAATTTACCTCCTGGTATTCGCGGAGCTCCCTCGCTGGGCACCTTTAAGAATCTATTAAAGACCTGGATGTTTCGGCAGGCCTTCCCACCAGATTACTTTTGATTTTTTTTTCTTCTTTATTGTTTCTTTACTCTATTGTTTTGTAATTTGTTGTTTTATTCTATTGTATTTTATCGTTGTTGTTGGCCATCCTAGAGTAGTCCTTCGGGACTAGATAGGCGGGATATAAATTAAATAAATAATAATAATAATAATGAACAAATAGAAGACAAAAGGTTTGATTTTTTAGGCACCAAGCTTGATTTGGTGTTTTTTAAAACTCCAGTTCCCTACCCAATGCATAGTAATCTGTGAAGAAAACGTGCAAACAGTCCACTCATAAACATAATTACAACCAGGTATTCATATATATATTTTTTACATATAATACTAACACACACCACTCTAGAAGGGTTGTGTACAAAGCAGTGTGCACAATGAGGGGTGCCAGGCAAGGAGCATTTCCAGCAGTCACATTATACTACTTTAAGATGAGGAATATGTAGAAGAAGCTTCGTTTATGCTCCAACTAGTGATACCCCCAAAGAATAGCTTTATATATAGGGTTTTTTTTAAAAAATCACAAAGCATAGTGTTTAAGTACTGTAAGACCAACTTGTACTGTGATGAACATCTGTATAAACCTCAACTCTCTGCTCTCCTAACAAACTTGGCTTTCAATACACAAATGGTGGCACATGTTAATAGATATCCAGGGACTTGCCTCACGTTGGAACCTTTCCAGTGTAAGTTTCCTTTGCATTTGATCCTGGACCCAAGGATCAGCAGCATATTCGTTTTCCAGCAGAGAACTCCAACAGTTTCCAGCATGACGATTAGTTTTTGTCAAGACAATTCGTATAAGTTTGTTGTCCTCTTTAAAAGAAGAAAAAGAGAGGAGGCAGAGTGCAAAATTATGTATTAAACAGAGAGGATACATCCCCTTATTCTCACGGAGATCTACTTATTTTTATTAGCAAGGAAATGAACCTTATCTGCCAACTTAATATCACATACAACAGAATAATCATGATGTAACTTAACATCACAAGCATTAATTGTACAGAAAACACAGAATGAATGAACTTGTTTTTTCTTAATAACCTTTTCTTTGCTTTCATATATTCATTCCAAAAAAACCATACTATAATAAACTCAGTTGTGTTTAGACGTCTAGATTATATGCATTTAGATTATGTCACTCAACGATATCAGCAGCAATCCTGCACTACAGTATCTTGTGCAAAATTATAAACATAATTCCCACTGACTGATGTTTGAAAGGAAGTAGATTTACTGGACAGATACAAACTGTGTGTTTTTGTAGGGAAAGACAAAGCCCATTTAATCTTTGCCGCTTTCAGGCGCCAGAGTATATGCAGGCCACGCAATAGGCCATAATAGAAATAGTATGTCTCTATATACATACCATTCTTCATTCAACCTTCATTCTATGTTTGATCAAATGAGAGACAGAAGAAAATGAAGGTTGTTTAGATATGTGGGAGCTTTCCAGACATTGCTTGTGGACTGTGTGTAGCATGGAAATGGTGGGAGAAATAGAACTCACTAGAACCCCATAGCAATTTTCCTGTACTCTTGCAAGTGATTATTAAAACCACAGATAATTTTCATAAATAATCAAACCAACTATGGTTTGATTATTTCATTAATAATCAAACCAATTTATGAAGATAAATTATATCTTAGAAATTCCTTGAAAAATGCCATTTACCTAGTGTCCATGTTGCTTCATCAGCTATTGTGGAATCAAAGAGTTTACCCTGGAAAAAAGTGTCAATAATATTTAAAAAAATCATAACCCAAATTCTAGAAGCAATTTTGCTAGGATTAGCAGTCTTTGATAGTTCAACTTGCTCTGAGAAATATCACTGTTTTTATATATAAAGCAGGAATTGATAACTGCTAGATTCAACAGCATATGTTAAAAAATTGCTTTGTTCAATAATTCTTCAGTAACAGTGTTTGTTGTGATGCAGGGGTATTTCCATCTTAATTCTACAACCTACAATGACTCCAATCTTGTTTCTTAAACTTCAGTCACATGAGACCTTGGTATGAGGGCATCCGAATTACTCAGAGGCAAGTGGGGGTGCTGTTCACAGATGCTTATATGAAATAACACCCATTAGTTTTTAGGGTGTTGGAAAACTCTTCGCTGGTTTTGCAGCGACAGGTTAGAATCACAGAATAATGAAGTTGAAAGGGGCCTATAAGGCCATTGAGACCAACCCCCTGCTCGATGCAGGAATCTGCTAGGTGGTTGTCTAAATTTCTCTAGAACGCCAACCAGTGTTGCAGCACTCACCACCTCTCCGGATAATTGATTCCATTGCCATTCTGCTCTAACAGTGAGAATGTTTCTCCTGATATTTAACCAAAATCTGGCTTCCTGTAGTTGAGCCCACTGTTGTGTGCCCTGCACTCTGGGATGATCAAGAATAGATTCTGCCCCCCCTCCTTTGAATGACAACCTTTCAAATATTAGAAAAGTACTATCATATGCCTCTTCCACCCCCTTCTTCTTTTCTCAAGGATAAACACGCTAAGTTCTCTCAGCCTTTCCTCATAAGGCTTGGCTTCCAGCCCCCTGATCATCCTTGTTGCCCTCCTCTGAACTTGTTCCCATTTGCTGGCATCCTTCTTGAAGTGTGGTGTCCAGAACGGGGCACAAGACTCGAGAGGAGGCCTAACCAGCCCTGAATAGAGGGGGGACTAGCACCTCGCAGGATTTGGAGGTTATACCTCTGTTAATGCAGCCTAAAATAGCATTTGCCTTTTTTGCTGCCACAACACACTGGCTTGGGCAAGGATTTGAACCCAAGTCTCCTGAGTCCGAATCCGACACTTGAACCCACTCCACAGCACCCTGGCACCAATATGGGACTAGGAAGCGGAAACTCTATGCGTACTATTTACTCGGGAGCAAGTTTCCTAACGCTGAACGTGGCTTATTTCTGAAGAGGAGATGCACCGTGAAGAGAGAGAGCCCTGGCCTCCGCCCCGTCGCCTTACCTTCAGGACCTCCTTGCCCACCACCGTCAGCGAGAGATGCCGGCTCTTCAGGCTGCACTGCACGTCCCTCGCCCGGGTCCCCTCCGGCACGTCCACCTCCACGAAGACCTCCTCCATGGTCTGGTACCAGCGGCCCCAAGGGGTGGCGCACGGCACCAGCCCGCTCCGCTCTTCGAACGGCGCCGACATCCGTCCCGCTCTTCCCCCACCCCCGCCCAGGGCCCGAGGCCCGCCACCACGTACGCATGCGCAGCTCCCCCTCTTCCGAAAGCCACGGCCTTTCGCCCCTTATCCGGAAGAGTCTGCCTCACTTCCGCCAGCGGCTCCATAATCGCGGCAGCCCTTAGAGCTAGAAAAAAAGAGACGTGACCGGGAGTCGCAGCTTTCGCCTCACTTCTGTTCTGAAATAAAAGAAAAGCCGTGTTGTTGGGGTTTTTTTAAAAAAAATTATTTTATTCATCTTAAAGCAGTCCGAGGCATAGTCATTAGAGCTGCTTGCAGTCAACGTGCAATAAAATCCTATTCGTTCGTTATATAAACTAGGCAGAAATAACCAACCTGATAGCCGGCAGTGGGTTCATCCTTGCGATCCAACACACTGGAGGCGGGGGGAAAAAATAGGAACGTCGAGCAGAAGCTTGAGTTGTGATAGCAGTCATCAAGATGTAGCGCCTTAGTTAGTCTAGCTCATACCGAAAGAAAATAAAAGGGCGGGGAAGCAAAATATTAAAGCAACTTGGCTTTCCTCCTCCTTTTGATTATTACATTGGGTTCATGTTTCAAAACCCCACAGGCTCCAAGAGATCCTATCATTTTGCTTATCTCTCCCCCCCCAAGAGACTAATGCAGCTTTCCCCCTCTGCCGTGGCTCCCGGTAAGGGAACCTAAGAAGCATCTAGGTTCCACCCCCGTCCGCACCTGCGGCTTCCCTTCCCCTCCCGACCGCCCTGCCTTCTGATTGGCAGACTTCGCCGCCAGCGCGGCGCCCTGATTGGCGGACTCGGGCGTGCCTTAAAGAGGGCGGTCACGTGGCGGCTTTTTGAATTTGCCTCTTCGTCCTTCCAGCGGGTGCGGCGCGATGTCGTTCCCGAAGGCTCCTCTCCGGCGCTTCAACGAGGCCCCGAGTAAGCAAGGGAGTGGAGTGGTGGTGGTGGTGGTTCCGTTGGCGTCGCTAGAAAGCTGGGGGCGCTTCCCCGAAGGAGCCTTTACCCCCGCTCGAAGTCTCAGCCCCCGGCTGTCGTCGTCGTCGTCACCAGAAAGCCGAGATTGGCGTTATAGAATCAGGCTTTAGGGGTCACCCGAATCTCTTCGTCAGGCTGGGGGCAGGGGGGGGGGATAGGAAGAGAAATGGAGAAGTTAGGTCACTATCCTGGCCACCTGTTTTAGCTCTGGGCTCTGAAGTCCTAAAATGGAGATGGCAGCCTTAAAGAGACACCTTGAGCTGGGCTCTTGTTATCAGGCTGCAGCGCAGCTGATGGTGCCAGGATGACGTCCTGTGAAGGGGTCATGTCCTGGATGGCCGAGCTCGTGTTTTTGCATGGTCCTACATCAGACAATACGGGGCTGTGCGGACCAATACTCTGATCTAGTACATGGCAGTGTTCTTTTGCTTATGTACAGTGTCTTGAGTAGGCCTGTGTTGTGGTAGTTGCCTGGTGCCTCTTGCATTAGTTCAAGATACTTAAGGGTTTTGCTTATGTACAGTGTCTTGAGTAGGCTGGTGTTGTAGTTGGCTGGTGCCTCTTGCATTACTTCAAGATACTTAAGGTTTTGTTATTATATGCATGTAAAGAAATGATTTTTTTAAAAAAGGGTTCTTATAAGTAGGGCTTTGACCTTGGTTCTTTCACACCCTACTTGCCCCTTCTAGCTTGTGCCCCACCTCCAGGTTCTTATGACATCAAAACTTCAGACCCTTCAAAAGGACCTGTGTCTTTTGACAAGTCTGAACGATTCAAAGTACATGCAGGTAAGTAATCAAATCTTGAATGACAAGTGTCTGGATTATGTGCCTTGCAGCTGCCTTGCTGTTAACCTGCTTCTGATATGTGCTTCTGCGCATGGCACCTCTGCTCATAACTTTCATTGTATTGCTGACCATCTGTGTTGTTTACGTGAAAAAGAAAACACTGCATTGATCGTAATAGCTCTTCTCATTTGGATCATGATCCTGTACATGCTTAATCAAGCCTGAATTAGTGCAATTTGCCTTCAGGTAAACACACATGGTATGGCACAGTGACACCATTCTTACACTAATGCCTAACATGCCCAGATCATAGCTCTTCTCATTTGGATCATGATCCTGTGCATGCTTAATTAAGCCTGAATTAACAGTGCAATTTGCCGTCAGGTAAACATACATGGTATGGTACAGTGACACCATTCCTACACTAATCCCTGACATGCCCAGATCGGTAGCATAACACCAACACACACTTCCATGCCAAAGAAAAAATGGGAAGTATGGTATAGTATCAGCTTATACTGGACTACCTGTTTTCTAAAAACAAATGCCAAAGCTTGAAACAGTTTGCAGTATGTTTTGTAAATTTTAATTCTAAATGTGCATGAAACATATTTCCGTGATTTCCCTGGAACTGCTGATTAATTAATGCTGACTTACTAAACTGAGGTTTGGTGAAGGTTGTTTTTGAAGCATGTAAATTTACCTCTCTGTGAAGTAGCTCTGTCAACTAAGTCACTGCAGTTGTCTTGAAGGAAGATTAAGTATAAATGTAAAATGGACTGAAAAAGACCACAACTGGATACACTCATTGCCAAAGCAAAACACCAGTGGTCTCTTTCTCTCTCTTTTTGTCCCTCTTCACTTTGTATCTATGATCCTCTGTCAGTTTAGTACATAGAAAGCTCTTATATCTGTGGTGTCTGTGGTGTGTGTCCTCAACAAAATACTGTAATCATTCTTGAATTCTTGCGAAGTAGAAGAGGCTCATCATTTTAAATATTAAGCAAAGGAGCATATCTTACTCTGATAAAGGGCCACCTACAATATAAAGTCAGCTAATCTGCATATTAAATCATAAAGAAATCTTGTACAGTATTTGCTTCTTTAAGCAACAAATCAGGCAAAGTAGCATCTACAAACTTGAAGATCCTTGATTGAGAATTCTTACATTGGTTACTTCAGAATCAGACAGAATGATCTGAAATATTATCTGAAGAAAATACATTCTTGGAGATGAATCACTAAATATCTCATTTCATTTTCTTCACAGGGGATCCTGAATCTCAGCAGAATGCAAGCAGTTTTAAACAGCCACCCTCTCCATCAACTGGTAGAAAATTGGAATCTTTTCGTTCAAGAGTAAGATTCACATTATGGCTCTTCCATTTCTGTTGGAATTTTCATTGTTACATTGTTTAAAACATTAAGTCATAAGGTTGGCATAAAATGGAAACAATCTGATAGCAGCTATGTTTAACAATTCGGCTTCCAAAGCTGTGGTAACATTTGTATCAACTATCTGTTGGGCAAATCTGCAAAGACAAGTTTGTCTTAATGGAGACAAACTCCATTAAGTAATGGAGAAGGTCAATAACCAAAGATCTAGTCTTTAATCTGAACAGTGAAATTTTTCAGAATTATCCTTCAGGAATTGTAGATTTTCACCACTAAGGAGCTGTGATTGCTGTGAGCTGAATGTAGATGAACACAATGAAGTTCTATTTGCTGATGCATATTTTTCAAAGTTCTGGTGGCTATGCTGCATTTATATCTAAATGAGTTTATTTTTATAGACATATATAGACACACACACATAGAGAGAGACACACACACAAATGTATATGTGTGTGTGTGTGTGTGTGTGTGTGTGTGTGTGTGTGTGTATAGACACACGCCCAAATATATATATAGACACACACCCAAATATATCGATGTTTGGCGGAACGCCTCCTCCCACCAAGGTCTACCCGGATCACCCG